GGGGGGGGGGGAAGGAGGATTTGGGGAATCCGAGAAATGGAATATAGGTGGAATGTTAAGGAGTCCTCTCTTGAATTATTCTTCATTGTTCAATACTTTTTCACAGATTTATGGTTATTTGAAATTATTCGTGTGATATTGAAGTTTTAAAATGTTTTTAATTTTATTTTCACACATTTTACATGACCTGTCTGTCTGCCCTTCTGTCGGTCTGTCTGTCAGTCCGTCCGTCTATGAAAAATCCTATTGCCTAAACTATTTATAGGAGTTTTTCCAAAATCAGTATTCATCGGTCGATCTCGAAGCCCAGAAATTTAATAATAAATCCTTTAAATTTTGGAAATACTTTTCACGAAGTCCCTGGAACATTTTCAACATTTTCCCAATTGGCTCCAAATTGTTTCTTGAAATTTCCAGTAACAATAGAGTGAATACTCTTATAACATTTGCATAGGTTCGGTTTTCACATTTACCCTTAATTTTCGAAAATTGCAAAGGTTTGAAATTTGTTTGACGCCCACGTATAAAATGTACAAAGATAAAATTTTTTCTAAAAAAATCTCACATTAGTCCTGTAATTAATGTCACTTTTTTAAAAATTTTAGTAATTTTGGGGTAATTTTGAGTGAAATATGGGAAATTAAAAAAATATTTTCTTAAAAGCTGCTCAATTAAAAAAAACAAGTTTTTATTTGGAGAGAGCTAATTGCATTGAATAACATGCCATCAACGTCACTTTGATGTATTTTCTAATTTTTCAAAAATTATATATATGTAATTGTCTTGACGTATCTCTCAGGTCGTTAATATTTACATTACGGGCATATTCATTAATGCATTCGGAAATACAATTGCTTCAAATTATTTCTTATGAATTGTTTCAAAAATTTAGAACTTTTCAGTCAAAATCAGCTCAAAATTGCGCATGTTCAGAAACGGCCAGTGGCATTTTCTCAATGCCGAAGATTGGAAGTAAATTAACAAAACAAAACTAATTAAATCGGCAATATTTAGGCAAAGGTTATGCTAATTGTCATTTGAAGTTTTGAATTTTTTGAAGTTTCGAAAATTTAGAGATTTCATTGAAAATTAAACAAACAAACAAACGTCTGCGGTCAGACGTTTTGCTGTCAATCGATTTTTCGGGGTCAAGAACGCACAAAGCATGGATTCTGACTACACAAGGAGTTAGAGGATGTAATTTACGATATATATATATATATATATATATATATATATATATATATATATATATATATATATATACACTAATACTAACTAATACTAACTAATAAAATTTTAGAGTGGTACTAGTAATGCAATTGTTCTGAAGCAACAAAATTGACATTTTCGAGGAAACTCACTGAGATCTCGATACATAGTTACCGTATGCTCGCGTGTAGAATGTACTCTCGAAGAAATGGCTTACTAATGACTTGTGGGACTAATGACCTTAGCAGTTGACGCGCCGGGAATCACTAATCAATAAAAAAATCGGCGAAATGATTCTCTATTGGCGTTTTCCACCCCCACTAAATATTTCCACTGCATGAATTACGTATTTTCAACATGATTTTTGTCATAGCAAAGTTATTGCAAGGAATTAATTACGAATTTCGAAATAGCTTGGCGGTATTTGAAGGCAACTTAAGACTTCTTCGCTCATTAAGTTCATGACTAAAGAGAGAAGCATACTCAAGGGACGAAATTTGGGCCACCGAAAGGTGAAATTACGCGTTTTCTATTTTTTCACTTCAAATTCTTTTCTATTGGTTGGGTGATTTTTGTAGTGCCATAGGAATTCCCCGTCATTTTTCAGTGGCCATTGCCAGAGCTCTCGCGACAGTATGGACCCAGATTATTCTCAACGGTACCTGTCTGTGATCGGACGGCCAGCCCAAGCCTTTCTTTTAATTACATACAGTGCATTTAAATTTAGCTTAATAAGCGAAAATTGTAAAAAATATCTCTACCACATGAACAGCGTTATTTGCTTGGTATTTCTCACCAACTGAATCCAATCACTCAGATGATAGATTTTCTTGTTTTTTTTTCTTTCTGTCTTTCATGTTACAGTCCACATGTGTGTGACTATTTACCAAACAAATGTGGTTAATTCGTTTTAGGGTTGGCATGTTGCAGACAGGAGGCAATGCCATTTGACAATCGTGCTCCTATGGTTTCGCGCCACATGCTGTTTGCATTTTGTCTTGTGCGACTTTCGTGATCATTTCTTGCATCTCCTATCGTGCCAAAGTTTTTTTCTTTCTTTTTCTCATAAGCATATTTCGCAATACCATAGTGTGTATCTCTTGGAGAAAACAATTTAATTTTTTCTTCTCCGGGAGCTACATTAAATTTGGCATCGAAGATCTTCTATGACTTCTATCTTTTTTAGGATGTTTAAATGCAAACCCTTTTCATGAAAACATTTCTCGTAAACAGTTAAACAAGAAAGATCTTCCCGATTCATTTCATACAAACTGTACTACATACGAGTAATAAACACACCTCCTGCCAGATGCTTTTACAGGTTTAATTTCGGCTACAATTGCTTTCATGAAATGGAAGAGTCAAAATAAATGATT